GGGAAAATGGTCTGTTCAACTTTAGGCAGGATATCAAGACAACCAAAATAACTGAGAAGAGGGAACAGGAAGGGTGTAGGAGCATTATATGCTCTGCTACAGCTTTGAGATTTAGCTGAAGATAAATCTGGGAAGGAAAGTCTAATGCAAACCTGCATTTTATATGTTCTATCAAGCAATGAATATGGGCTAAACTCTCTGTTTCCTCAGAACGTAATTGGCCAATTTTTAGAGGAACCAAAAGAGCTCAATTTCCCCAAACTCTAGGAGAGTCTGTGAAAAGTGGATGCTCCTTCAGCACCTTTGAACATCCCAGCCATGCTTCCTGGCTGTCAGGGGAACCACATTGCAACCTACCTTTGGGAGCCTGAGCACTGGGGAAAGAACAGGAAAAATAGTAGCAGCTTGGAAGGTGAGTGTGAGCCAGGCAGTTTTTGGAGATGATTCCCTTCTAAATGGGACCCTGTTGCTAGGTTGCAGACAGGCACTCATGATGAATCCCCTGTGTGAGTGGTTTGACAGTCTTAAAACCTGAGCATCTCTCAGGTTGTCTTTTAGGCATCCGTTTCTTGCTTTCTTGAGTGGGTTAATGGCAAACATATCTCTCATCTTGGCAGTTTGCATTTACTTGAACAAGAACGGCAGCACTGGGCCCCATCTAGACAAGAAGAAAGTTCAGCAGCTGCCTGACCATTTTGGACCAGCTCGGGCTTCTGTTGTCCTGCAGCAGGCAGTGCAGGCCTGCATTGATTGCGCTTATCATCAGAAAATCGTCTTTTCCTTCTTAAAACAAGGCCACGGGGGAGAGGTCATCTCAGGTGAGAACTGGCCTACAGTACTTTGCCTTCAGAGGTATCATAGCAAGGATTATCTCATTGGAAGCTGTGTCTTCTGAAGCTTTATATAATCACGGGCCATGAGCAGACAGAAGATTTCTGTCTTCTCGTTCTTACCAAACGTTTGTGTCAGTGAAGCAACAACTAACGGGTGACTCAGAGCAAAGTGTTCCTGGTAGTATGTCCTCCAGGCACAGCTGCTGGAGAAAGCAATATGCAGCCTTTGTCTTAGCCTGGGGAGCATTATACTTCACCTGTCATCCCCCCAGGATTGTCTGAACCCCCAAGAGGAAACAGAAAGGGTGGGAATTTCAGAACGTCTAATGAAAAGAAATGCCCTAAAGCTTCTTCTCCCCTTTCCCTGAGTTTTAATTGTACTTTTAAGCCCATGTTTACCCAGATGCTGGGAGTACAGGCCCCTCCTTGAATGCCTTTCCATTGCCTTTAACAGAGCTTCCCAGACACTGCAAACTCATACCTAATATTGGGTGCAGCAGACTGGTTTTAGCCTGTCCCAGGGAAGTGAGCTCACCAGCGTTCAGCCAGCGGAAGGCAGTGGCTTTTGTTTGCTCTAGTCTAGACCAGTGATGCTGAGATACAGAAGCTGGCTGTGCAGCCCTGGGCGTAGTCTCCTGCCTTTGCTGGGGGTTTACGTGTTGGGCTCTGTTTGTTTCTGTCTCCAGCTGTGTTTGATCGGGAACAGCACACTCTGAACCTGCCAGCAGTAAACAGTATCACCTACGTCCTCCGCTTCCTGGAGAAACTCTGCCACAATCTTCGCAGTGACAACCTCTTTGGGAACCAGCCTTTCACTCAGAACAGCCACATGCAGCGCTCACACGAGTACGACCACGACAGGTATCTACCAGGTAGGAGCTGGGGCGGGGGTGGTATTATAGGGACCCCAGATGCTCCATGTCTTAACTCAGATTTTATCCTTTATCTCAGGAGGCAGGAGTGTGTTTTCCAGAGCCCTCTCTGTAGAGTTCATTGCACAACACCCAGTGTCATGCACGTGCCCTCAGGGATCTTTTTGCTCAGAATTCAAGATGCTGTATTTTTTGCCTGTCAGTCTGATTTCCATCTGTGCCTGTAGGTTTCCGCTCATCCGTGCTGTCTCACTGTCTTTCCTTCTATCCTCACTGTCCCCCGGTGCTTCCCACTTCCTGTAATCTGATTATAGTGACTTCATCCAGTTAGGAATTAAGGTGAAAATCTCTGCATAAGAAACAGAAGAGTGATAACCTGCAGCAGGTAAAATATAATTAGAAATTTAATTAACTCCTACTAGAGCGATTTCCATCATTGCTATGAATGTGATGCCAGCAGACAGCACACCTAGCCCTCAGTGAAAGCAAGGAAGCTCAGCCTTTTTAGGGGTGGGAACACACTGCAAGTATCTGAGGCATATGCGGCTTTGTTTTTCTTGGCATGGCTAAGGCTCCACAGTGTTGAAGCAACACGCCCCTGGCAAGATAGCTCATGCCACGATGCAGATCATCAGGTTGCAAAATCTTTGTTAAGCAAAGGCGCTAGAAACCAAAAAGACAAACAGTTGTCCCCCAGGACTAGGTAGTGGCAACAAACCCTGGGGCAGTACCTGCCTACCTGGAGCTGTCTGTGTGGCTTGGGGGAGACTACTCCTATAGGAATTCCAGTCATGGAGAGGACAAAAATCTGCACCCTCTTTACATTCTGATCTGCTGTCCTATCTTACTTCCTCCGCTATCTTTCTGCCCCTAGAGTCAGAAAATAGCTCTGTTCTGCTGTTTGAGGTCTCTCCAAAGTTAACCTTCTGGATAATTGTGGCTTGCAAAGCAAGAATCTCTAGTGTGAAAGGATAGGCCCTTAAAAAGAACCATTTAAGGAGAAGTTGCTAAGTGTGAGGCTTGGGGGCAACAATCTAATGCCACTTTGCCTCACTTGCACCTTGCTGTGCTCTGCTTCTCAGCCTCTCTCCTCTCCCTTCCCACCCTTTCATCCCTACGCTTCTCAGGAACCATCAAGGAAGGATGCTGAAGCCAGCAGTGTGTCAGGGCCAGGCTGGAGTTCAAAGCAACCCTGTTAAGGGGAAGGGTTTAGCAACAGCGTAAAGAGCATGTGCATCTCTGACTGTCCTGTGCTTCCTCCATGGCTGATCAGCTGCCTGCAAGCTGAGGCTAAGCAGAGCCATGCTAGAGCTAGCATGTGGCTCAACTGGGAGTGAGCAATGCCAGGAGCAGAAAGCTTTGTTTTGGGGAAGAAGAGGGGAAGCAGTTTGCCTGCTGTGGCACATACAAGAACAGCATAACTAGAAATTGCCAAGACTCTAGGTAATCCCCAAGTGGATTACCACTCTAGGTAATCCCCAGTTAGAAGGAATCCCCATGTCCCAGTGTGAAACTACCCTGCCATCGTGAGAAGGAGCAAAACTGGAATGTGCAAAAGAGGACCCGACGTCTGGGCATGGTAGCAGTCTTGGATGGAGAGGGGTCCTGTAGCCCACACACAGGTTCACTAGCCACCGTGGGATGCTTATTGTGTCTGTTCCAAGGGCTCGGCTGCATGGCAGGGTGAAGCAGTAGAAAGAGCAGGGCGAGAGTTGCAGAGAAACTTAGGCAGGGCACCAAATAAGACACGATGTCAAGGTCTGCCTATCCTGAACTCCTTGTTTGGGTGTTTCTAGGAGTTAAAGAAAGATTAACCACAGTCCAGAGGAGTGGTAACACCTAGTTCTGTAGTTCACAGTGGTGCCTCAGAGACTGTTGGGGATCTAGTCGTTCTGACATCTTTCTCAAGCACCTGAAAGAAGATGATAAACATTGTTATCCACACATGACAGTGACATCATCTGGTGAGGGCAAAGAAACAGTACGAATAAGTTTGAGGGGTTGGAGCTGGTCATGGAAGGAGGAGGATGCAGTTTTACATCAGCTTAAATCAAACCAAGTCAGGGCCACCACGGTCTCACCTTCAACTCCATGTTCCCTGCCTTGTCTCCTGTATGGCACAGGTGCTTATGTGCCTGAATAGGGCTGATTCTTCCAGAAAGTCATCATTTATTGATTAGAACTGGCAACTGGTCTCAGTTCCCAGAACAAGCTCACTTAACTGCTACAGGAGCACCACTGTAGATACAATGGAGAAGTCATGGATATGCTTGGGGCAGGACAAATGTAGGTCTGCAGATGCTCTTAAATCAGATAGTACTGCTGTAGAACTGCATCATGATATGCAGTCTTGATAAAGCACCTTCATGCAAATAAGGGGATATAAACCAATACATCAGGAAACAGCAGATTTGCAAGAAGTTGCTGTGAATAGGAAAGGAGCTGGGCTGTGGAATGTTGTGAAAGGGTAGATCCAATCTGGAGCCAGCTGAAAACATAGGAATGGAAGGACCTTCTGAGTTACTGAGTCCAGCATCCTGTTTTTAAAAGTGCCACAGCATACAATATTACGTTAATAAACTCTGAGTCCTGTGTCAAATCAGTTGGGTTTTTTGCTCTTCCCCTAGAGGCTGTTCCAAGGTTTTCTGTTCTAATAGCAGGGGCTATTTTGCAATTTCTGTCAAAAATTTATTGTTGGGCAACTTGATATCCATTTCTCCCTGTCTTAACGCATTGTCCTCTAGCTTAATATGGTTCTCTTCCTTCTGGAAGTAGCTGGATATCCTTCAGGGGAGCTGCCTTTTCATCTGTTCTGGTAAGAAAGGCTCTCCTGATCATCTCAGTTGTTCTTCCTGCAACAAGCTATTTTGAATTAAACTTTGATGAAGTGAGCAGAGTGCTGCACAGCACTCCAGGGAAGAGCTGATGAGGACCTTGTGCCACAGCACTAGTGCCTCTGTCTTCAAAAGAAATCTCCCTGGAAGCCCCTTTTTATAGCTGTGTCGTTATAGCAGCTGATAATCGTCCTGTCTTGGTAGTGTATCCTGTTCTTCTCCTCTGTTATTTTCAACTGCAAGTTCCCATCTCATAGGACAATGCTGCTACTAATTTCAAGTGCAAGTCTGCATTTTGCGTTGCTGAATTTACCTCCGTTCTGGTGCTCCATTCTTTAAGTTCTTTCCCTGTATTATCAAATCCTACGGTATCTGGCCTGACTTTGGAAGGCATCAGCAGATTTCGTCAGTGCATCTCTAAAATTTGTGCCCAAGTCATTGTTAAAAGTTACTAAATGACACTGAGCTCAAGAATGATCCTCAGGAAAATTTGCTGATGATTGGTCTCCAGCCTCATGTTCTTCCTTAATGCTCTGTCAGTTGCCTTTCCATTCAAATCAGATATCTGTTCACATAACAGTTCTTCTGCTAATCCTCATGTTCTCTGTCTCAGCTGGTGGTTTTCCATACCACATGCCTTGCTGAATTCCAGGTGAATGAGATCACCACACTTCCTTTGTCTGGTAAATCAGTTATTTTTCCTTGATAAGGAAGCTATTGGATTAGTCACCTTTGAACACATACCGCAGTGTAGGCCGTGTGCTCTTAACTGCCATATTTTACTTATCCTTTCATTCAAAACCTCTTTTAAATCTTACATACTGCTGAGGCCAGACGTGGACGTTTAGTTGCCTCGATCACTTTTTTCCCCTTTCTTTTTAAAACGTTAGCACTGTGTTTCCAGTCATACCAGTCATGAGTGGTGTTTCACTTAGATTTGTTAGAATTTGATTTCGTGTATGCTTTCTAAGTTATGTGTCTGTTTCCTCCTGCACACTTAGGTCCCAAGTTCAGTTATTTGCTTTTTATTTCTTACTCAAAGGTGTGTGGTTTTGTTCCTTTTCCCCTGTTCTCATTATCCTTTGGGCCTTGTCCTTGTGTTCAGTATTACTGCGACTGAAAACAAAGCAAAGGGTGTGATTTGTTTGACTGAATATGGGTGGATGTCACGGAGGCATCTACATCTCAGCTAGTCACCCTAGCCTGCCTCTGCAGTCAGGGAGATGGTACCAGCGCAGTTAGTGCAAGTTATAGCATCCTAAAGTGGGTGCCCTTATTTGATGAGATGAGCAAACTTCCATAAACCTAGACATGGGCAGATGTTGCTCTTCCTCCCTGCTAACCTCTTGAGTTAGGTGAGGTGAAGCATGCCCCAAAGCTGTCCCATAATTTGCAGACAAGCTTTTTTTTCTTATTTTTTTCTTCTTGTTATTTTTTTTTTTTACTTGTCCGTACTGCACAGTAACCTCTACTTCTTTTCTCATTCACTTGTTACTTCTGTAGCTGAGGATTCAGTGCTGTCTTTTCCTTTGCACGGTCAAAAGACAAACTGAGTCAAAAGTTCACTTTATCACTGTACTTGTGCTCCGAAGTATAGGTCCCCTTGCTGTGTAGTCCTTTTCATTTCCAGCAAATGATCTGCTTGTTCTTCATAGCCTTCTATATTTATCCAATTAGATTTGGAGTCCTTTCCTCCTATATCTTCCTCTCGTGTAGATACGAATTCATGATTTTTATGGCGTCTTTTGAACTGAAGATATTCTCTTTTTTTCAATGTTCTATACGCTGACCACTGAGTCCAGCTCTAGGTATTAATCCATTTCCTTATTTTCTTAAAATCAGGCCTTTAAAATCAGAAACCTTCGTTACAAACCCACTTTTGGTTTAACCTTTCATTAATTTGCAATGGCTTAACTTACAATTCCTTGAATTATGTTCTACAACCTGACCTTCTGTATTTGCATTACTCACAAAAGCAAATAATTTAAAAAAACAACCCGGAACAAAACCACAAAGACTCTTTAAAAAGCATCACCTTTTGTTGTGGTTCAGTGACTGTTTGGTGAAGGAATTCATTCTCTTTTACATGTAGAGATATCCAGGGACGTTTCTAACAGTATTTGTTTCTGATCTCTATCTGGACAATAAACGTTTCTTACAGTGAATTGTCCTGAGGACGGTATTGACCTGGCTAATAATATTACAGTGATTTCTCTTCACACCTGTATGGAGTCATGGGCCCTGCAGACAAGTCGCAGCTTTCTCTCAGTAAAAGGAGCTTTCCTTTCCTTTCCCAAGATCAATTTTGATGAAAATGAATACTATTTTCTACTTTTTTATTTCTCTTTAGTCAGCTGAATTATGACTGTCTGATGCTTCCCAACAATCTTTACCTTTGTTTCTTTGTTCAGCGTAACTCGTCTCCTTTGGTGTCCCGTCATAATTGCTCTTCACCATATTTCTGTTATCCCCATTCCTGCCCTGCACCAGCAGTTCAGCTTCCTCTGTGCTGCTGTCAGGCTCCTGGCATTTGTCTATAAGCATTTCCGTTCTTTCTGCAAGCAGTGTCCACACACACGTTCACATGGCAGGTTCGCATGCTCCTCTTGTGCTTGGGGCTGCTGAAAGGGACCAGCAAGGAATGCTCATGGCCCATGTGCACATGCAGGCTGCATGTGGGCTGCAGGGCTCAGGAAACACCGGTTACAGATAAATAACCTCTTCATTGCTTCTTATTTGACCATACCTTATCCTACCTCCGGATAAGACATGGTCCTACTGCCAACTGTATCGCTTTGCTGGCTTCTGTTCCCAGCCGCCTTAGCACTTTCATTCTCTGTGTTCATCCATCCACTGATATTTTGTGTTCAGTGTTTATTCATCTGTAAAGAGGCATGTCACAGCCCAGCCTGATGTATATAGTGTTGAAATAACTGTGCTTCGACTGTTGCATACAATGCAGAGAACCTCATCATTGGAAAGCATTTGGAAAAGAGCAGCAGTGACAGCTGGGAAGCTTGAGGGATCCATTTAGGGGGGAGATTAAAAATTCAAGTACAATTTAACCGAGCATTGTGTATGTCATAGAGTATTTGCAAATTGTCTAAAGGTTATGAATATGTGAAAGGTGAGGAGAGTGAGGAGAAGCAGGAATTGTGTGGGATGAGCCAAGGGGTAGAATTAGGAGAAATGGGATTAAGTTAACCAAGGGAGATGTTGGGTGAAGTATGGCAAACAGTGACTAAGATTCTTTGTTAGGTTTATTCCCACCCTTTTATGCCTAATAAAAATTGCAAAGCAAAATATAAAATGTTAAGCACTGACAGATGTAGTTGGGTTGTAGTATTAACAGGCTGTTAACAGGCTGGGGGTGGATGCGAGTCTGAAATGGCTCTGGCAGGACTGACTTTTCCCAGAAAGTCTCCACTCTTAAATAGGGCTTGTTCTCTTTTCCTAGACAGAAGCAGTTCGTTAGACGGCACTCTGCAGGGACCAGGCCGGGGTACAAAGCGATATTCCCAAGATTCCCCTCCATACAGTGCTCCTCTCTCCCCCAAGTTACCAAAGAATGACCGTCACCCTTTGGAAGGTGAGCACAGCATCTCTTCCCAAAGCTGGCTGTTTATAGTGACTTGTAATGGATATAGCAGAATAAGATTTGCCATGGCAAATTAAGCCGTGGGTTTAGGAAGTCTGCTTTTCTTTGTCCCTGGCATGAGTCAGTGCTTGATGTTTCAGAAGGAATTGACGAAAGTATACACTGAGGCAGGTACACAAACCAGTGGTGTAAGGCATGTGGAATGCATTCAGAATTCTTTCTAATCCCGATAGTGATTCATCTAATACCATGAAATCTAATACATAAATCCATATTTTAGCTTCCATTGTTTGAATGGTATTGATGGTCATAAAAGTATCCAGGTGCTTCAGTCAGTCTCCCCCTGAATTTTCCCATGATCATTTGCTGCAGTGTGTTCTACAGATGCTGATCTACAGGGAACCTGCTGCCCTTTCCCAGGATCCCATCTTGTTCCTTGCAGTCCTTGCCAAATAGCACAGCATTTTAGCCTTTTTCTAGTATACCCATCACCAGCTAAACCAAACTACAGCTTGGCTCCTAGAGTGCTACTGCTTTCTGCAGTGCCCGGCAAGTAACGCTAGGGCAGATGCGCTGTGCCATGTCCTCAGAAGTAATTGCAGGAATGTGCTCTTTGGTATGTGGTCCATAGATTTCATATGCACATGTGTATAAGTAAGTGGGAGATTTCCAGGGAGTCCAGGTAATTGAAAGACTTTTGAGCCTGAGGAGGAGCCTTCAGTAAATACCCTTCCACTTTCCCTTTTGTTTTGAACTGTAAACACTCTGTAATGTAGGACTAGTGCTTTAACCATACAAAAAGCCTTTTCATAGACTGTGAAATCAGCCAAGCTGCTAGTCACAGAATCGTTTAGGTTGGAAGGGACCTCTGGAGATCATCTAGTCCAACCTCCCTGCTCCAGCAGGGTCCTCTAGAGCATATTGCCCAGGATCACATCCAGACGGGTTTTGAATACCTCCAGCGAAGGAGACTCCACTACCTCTCTGGGCAACCTCTTCCAATGCTCTGTCACCCTCACAGTGAAGAAGTTTTTTCTCAGGTTCAGATGGAACTTCCTGTGGTTCAGTTTGTGACCGTTGCCTCTTGTCCTGTTGCTGGGCACCACGGAGAAGAGGCTGGCCTCATCCTCTCGACACTCCCCCTTCAGATACTTGTACACGTTGATGAGATCCCCTCTCAGTCTTCTCTTCTCCAGGCTGAACAGTGGCAGCTCCCTCAGTCTTTCTTCAGAGGAGAGATGCTCCAGTCCCCTCATCATCTTTGTAGGCCTCCGCTGGACTCTCTCCAATAGTGCCATGTCGATCTCGTACTGGGGAGCCCAGAACTGGACACAGGACTCCAGGTGGGGCCTCACCAGGGCTGAGGAGAGGGGCAGGATCACCTCCCTCCACCTGCTGGCAACACTCTGCCTGATGCACCCCAGCATCCCATTGGCCTTCTTGGCCACAAGGGCACACTGCTGGCTCATGTTTAACTTGTTGTCCACCAGCACTCCCAGGTCCTTCTCTGCAGAGCTGCTTCCCAGCAGGTCAACCCCCAGCCTGTACTGCTGCATGGGGTTATTCCTCTCCAGATGCAGGACCCTGCACTTGCCTTTGTTGAACTTCAGGAGGTTCCTCTCCGCCCACCTCTCCAGTCTGTCCAGGTCCCTCTGAATGGCAGCACAGCCTTCTGGTGTGTCAGCCACTGCCCCCAGTTTAGTATCATCAGCAAACTTGCTAGGGGTGCATTCTGTCCCTTCCTCCAGGTCATCGATGAATACATTGAACAAGACTGGACCCAGTACTGACCCCTGGGGGATACCGCTAGCTACAGGCCTCCCACTAGACTCCACGCTGCTGACCACAACCCTCTGAGCTCTGCCATCCAGCCAGTTCTCAAGCCACCTCACTCTCCACTCATCCAGCCCACGCTTCCTGAGCTTGCCTGTGAGGATGTGATGGGAGACAGTGTCCAAAGCCTTGCTGAAGTCCAGGGAGACAACATCCACTGCCCTCCCCTCATCTCCCCAGCCAGTCATTCCAGCAGAGAAGGCTCTCAGATTGGTCAAGCATGATTTCCCCTTGGTGAATCCATGCTGACTACTCCTGATCGCCTTCTTGTCCTCCACATGCTTAGTGAGGACCTCCAGGATGAGCTGTTCCATCACCTTTCCAGGGATGGAGGTGAGGCTGACAGGCCCGTAGTTCCCTGGCTCCTCCTCCTTGCCCTTTTTGAAGACTGCGGTGACACTGGCTTTCTTCCAGGCCTCAGGCACCTCTCCTGTTCTCCAGGACCTTGCCAAGATGATGGAGAGTGGCCTAGCAAGAACATCCGCCAGCTCCCTCAGCTCTCGTGGGTGTATCCCATTGGGGCCCATGGATTTATGGATGTGAGGTTTGGACAAAAGATCTCTAACGCGATCCTCCTCCACCAAGGGAGAGTCTTCCCTTCTCCAGCCTTCCTCTCATGTCTCCAGGGTCTGGGATTCCTGAGGGCTGGCCTTAGCAGTAAAGGCTGAAGCAAAGAAGGCATTCAGCAACTCTGCCTTCTCTATATCCTTTGTTACCAGGGCACCTGCCCCATTCAGCAGCGGGCCCACGTTTTCCCTAGTCTTCCTTTTGCTATTGATATATTTGAAGAACTCCTTCTAGTCTCGTTTCTTTGTAATATGTTACTGAAAAAAATTGCTGGAGACTGTTACTTGATGAGTGTTCAGTGGCTTTGTGTTCTGTTACTGTCTTGATAAATCCACTGTTTCCCTCTTTCTTACTGAGTTTGCTGGACTTGCATTCTTGATCCCAGATTTGAGAGTGAACAGCCTCCCATGTGCTATAACGTAATTTTAGTCTCCATCACTCGCCATTGTCCTGTGTTCTCCAGTATTACTTACCCAGTATCTAGTCATAGAGAGAGAGTGAATTTGCACCTTGTGATGGACAGAACCCGTTGGCCTTTAGAATCTAAAACGATTAAAGTTGTGAGTTCGACGCATAGCCGATCTAAAGAATAAGGTGAACTGCCGAACTGTCTCACCTGTTCCAGTGTATTGACAAGTCAAGCATTGTTCCCTAATGCCCACACCATTTCTAACCTCTAGATACACTGTCTTTCTGATCTACTTGACGTTCTCCTCTAATATATCAACCACTGTACTTAGGTAACGACTAGAAAAACATGTCTGCTCCCACTCCATCGGCAGGTAGACGTGCAGTATTTTGCCTGTTCTTGAAGTTCAGTGGTGTGTTCTAAAGACTAAGATGCTTGGGTTAGGTGGTGGGTATGTTGGCCTCCCTGTATTGGCAGTGAAGAGAGAAAGGCTCTTATAGTAGGTAATTCTGAGTGGGAATCTCTGTTATGTTGTCTACAAGACTGATTCTTGGTCTACTTGAAAGTCTGTTCATTTATCTTTTGTCCTTTGAATGGGACATGTCATGCAGATACCCAGATTGCTCCAGCCTCTTTTGTGAAAGTAGAGACAAGTGGGCAGAAGTAGAGCCTTCATATGAGGGTCAAGATGCTGTTGTATTCTGAACTTCGTACAGCATCTTGGTCTTAGTCTGTTCTTGGACCTGGCAGGAAGTGTACAGGGAAGGGAGAAATGAGGTGCAGTTCCAAAGAGCTTCTAGAAATTCATTTTTATCCCACAACCCATCAGCTAAAAGGCTGTTCTTCCTCCTTCACCATGAAATTTAAGTATAGGCAGAAACATTTGTTTTTGAGTGGATGTATTTTAACAATATGAGCCTGAAATACTCAGACATTCAATATTTCTTGAGCAAGGAGGTATGACTTCTCATGGTGGTAAACTCCCTCAGCAGAGCATATACTGGTTTCACAGGTGTGACAGACTACAATACCTCAAAAGCTTCCACTGTGCCAAATGGAAGGCAGTGAGGAGCCATAGGTGCCCTTCACAAGAAGTCAGTTATGTAGCTTTTTGCTAAAAAGCTGCAGTTCCAGCACAGTGGGAACCTGCTTTTCAACGACTATAATTTGTTGGAAGCACTAGGTATTCGGTAGTTGTGCAAAGCAGATTTATGCTTGTGGCCAAACTCCATGTTTTAGCAGTAAAACTGCACTCTAGAATCCGTAGGACTATTTGTTTAGTTAAACTTTGTCTGATTATCTCTTCTTTGCCTCTCCACCACTAATCTTGGCCTGTTTTCCTGCAATACTCCAAACGCAGGGCTGTATTTAAAACTAGCAATCTGTATAGGAAAACATGCCTAAGAATTAACCACGTCCTCCTCACTCCAAAGCTGTTTATCAAGAGTGAGAGAATTCTGAATATAGCCCTGAAAGCAGTCTGTGTGCTGCCGCTGTAAGAAGCACAATGTCTTCTGCCACAGATCATTCACAGATCTAGTCATCATTCTCCTCCGGCCTTATTTCTCTCTCCCCTCTTTGTCAGGGTCATTCGCTCAAGCGGTTCTCTGTGTATTTGTATTTAAAAAAAAATCCTAGAGCTCTCTTGCACCGACTTTGCTGAAAAGCCTCCAGTTCTGCTGTAATATTTACTGCAGTGCCTAGCAGGCACTGCAGTAACAGGAGACAGGTAATCTGAGGATGAACATGCAGCTTTAATTCTGCCCCTTAAGCAAAAAAAAAAGAAGTGCTCCCTAGATGCTTGGCTTCATACTGTTCTTTGGATGTACAGTCATAAGCACATGTAAGAAAACGATCACGTTTTTCAAGAATGCATCGTAGTGCATTCAGATCAGAAAGATGACAGTATGTTAAACTTTGGGTTAAGTATGTTCTGAGGGTGATGTCTGGATCCTTTAGTGTTGTACTGATGTGAACCTGTGCGTTGCTTTCCCTGAGGTCTCCCAGCCTCCCAAGCTGTAGTCTTTGCTAGCTGAGCTCAGAAATTCACAGAATCACAGAACGGTTGGGATTGTGAGTAGCCATAGGTGCCCTTCACAAGAAGTCAGAAAGATGAGGAGGGGATTTCCCTTCGTGCATTGTTTCTCTTCTTACAGCTAGTGTCACTTACGTAGCCTTTTGCTAAAAAGCTGCAGTACCAGTACAGTGGGAACCTGCTTTTCAACAACTATAATTTGTTGGGAACAGTGGGTGTTCAGTAGTCGTGCAAATATGCTTGTGGCCAAACTCCATGTTTTAGCAGTAAAACTGCACTCTTGAATCCCTTACCAGTTTGAGTTCTAGGTCGGCTTTAGCTCTCCTAACCCCAGCGAGGTATGCTCAGATTGTGTTTTATATTCCTCATGGGTAACTTGTCCCTGATTTCCCTTCTTGTACACTTCCTTTTTATGTCCAAGTTTAGTCAGGAGCTTCTTGTTCATCCATGTGGCCTCCTGCCACCTTTGCTTGATTTCCTGCTTGTTGGGATGGGCCGTTCTTGAGCTTGGAGGAGGTGATCTTTGAATATCAACCAGCTCTGTTGAACCCCTATTCCCTCCAGGGCCATATCCCATGGGATTCTTCCAAGCAGGTCCCTGAACAGGCCAAAGGCTGTTCTCCTGAAATTCAAGGTTGTGATCTTGCTTTTTGCCCTGCTCTGTCCTGTTAGGATCCTGAATTGATGGTTGCTGCAGCCAAGGCTGCCCTGACCTTCACACGTCTGACCAGTTCTTCCTTGTTTGTAAGTATGAGGTCCAGCAGAGCGTGTCTCCTCATCAGCTCCTCGATCACCCATATCAAAAAGTTGTCACCAATGCGCTCCAGAAACCTGGATTGCTTGTGCCCTGCCGTGTTGTCCCTCCAGCAGACAACAGGGTGCCTTAAGTCCGCCGTGAGGACGAAGGCCTGTGAACGTGGAGCTTCTTCCAATTATCTGAGGAAGGCCTCACTACTACTACTTTCTAATCAGGTGGCCTGTAGCAGACACTCACCACAATGTCACCTGTGCTAGTCTGCCAGCTAATCCTAACCTATAAGCTCTCAGCTGGCCTCTCACCTGTCGCCAGGCAGAGCTCCATGCATTCCTACTGCTCTCTCACGTAAAGGGCAACTCCCCCGCCTTGCCTTCCTGGCCTGTCCTTCCTAAAGAGCCTATATCCATCCATCACAGTACTTCACAGTACTCAAGTTCTGAGAGCTATGCCACCATGCCTCCATGATTCCTTTTGCAGGCACAAATCCTCTTATGAAGCTTTGCTGTATTTTCATTATCAGTTGGATGTGCATACCTCTTATGAAGCTTTGATGTATTTTCATTATCAGTTGGACATGCATATTTTTCTGACCCAGCAAATCTGGGTCAGGTATCCTGGATCTTCATGAATTCAGATGATTTTACCTCACAAAGGGTAATTGAATCCCCTGGAGGATGGAGCCCTGCAGCAGAGACCTGTTTCAATACTCGTATCTCTGCTGTGCTAGCTATGGTTTCCTTCTCCTTTTATAAATATATTGAGATCAATGCACTGGGCTGTGACCTGCTAACCCGTCTCATGCCACCACGCTTTACCATGAGTCAGATGTTACCCTTTTGCATGGATGTTCCAAAAAGCTTATGTTTAATGGGAAGTAATTCGTATTTTAACAAAAACTTTACTGTTGTTGGAGAGGAAATCAAATGTAGTTCCCACGAAGAAGTTCCCAGTGCCACTGGTGTAAATCACATCCATGGTGTGGGTCTGTCTGGACTCAGCCAAGGAAGTGCTATCTGACCCTGGGCCAGAGCAGCCCAGGTGAGTTGGGTTTTTTTGCCCAGTCTTCTAGTGCTGCGAGGAGATGGTGAGGGCGCAGAGCTGGCATCTCAGTCTGAGGTCCGAAAGCTGTTAAGTTCTTCCCAAAGTTTCTTGCTAAGTTCATGCTGCTGTGCTCCAGTTAAGGAAATGCAGTTTGCCAGCATCCAAAGTAATATCTGAATACTACAGAGGTTGAGCCCTTCTTGGGCTATTTCTCTTGGAAGCATGTTGTTTTCTGCCTTTTTCATCCTCTAGTTTCAACGCTATTGCTCTCTGCATTTGAATAGAGATTTTGGGGGCAAGTTCACTCTGAGGCAGGCAGCCCATAGCTTCCCCAACTTTACCTCCTCTTTGCCAAACTTTAATGCTCCTCTTTTCCGGCTTTCTGGCAATTCAGTCAAGCAAATGCAAGGCTATCATCTCCATCATTGCAACCCTCTTTCCTTTAGGTTTTGTTTACCATGGTTGCATTTGAAGCATTTCTGCCTTTCTTTGATTTTCAGGCCTCTGAAACTCTTAGAAACCAGCCGGACATGCTTAAAAAGCTTGTGTAAAAGCAGTGCTGGTCTGAGCCCTGTCTCTTATTCCCTTGGTCGCATGTGCTGTAGGTTGGCCCACACGTCAGTAGTTTCCCATGTGGGTAGATGTTTTCACTTCAACAAGGATCTCTGATTCAAGACTATCGCTGAATAACTTCAAGGCCTCCTTCACTCCTGTCTTGTGCCATTTTCCCTGCCATGCTGGATTTTCTCCTACTGTTACTGTGGTCCGTGAAGTCCAGGGAAGAAGCCCAGGCCTGACAGATACAGTTTCTCTGGTTTCATTTTTCCATTCATGTAGCCTGCTGCAGTGTTTGAATGCAGCAGCTCAAAACTGTGAACTGTTTTAAGAGTCTCTTTGCAGGCGCTAGTAAAGGTGCCCCAAATCTCAACCAGGTGCAGTGGCGTAGCCCGCGCAGGCAATGCACCTCATTCTAGGAACTGTTTTCCTCTTTCACTTTACAATTTGCTGGGAATTTCGTAGTAAAGAACCCAGGTATTTGAGTATCATGAAGCATCAGGTCCGCCTGGACTGAGACTAGGTTGTGCTGTGCCATAGTGAAATCTACAAACATGTGGTCCTAGGATGACTTTTTGATGGCATAACAGCAAAGGGAAATCTTTCCTAGATATGAGATTCACTTGCTAATCTGCAGTTCAGGCTCAGCCAGCACAATGTAACATCCAGGATAGTTTCCTCAGTCTCCCCATCCTAACATTGTCATTGACAATGCAAATTAAATGCAAGTTTGGAAGATAAGGTGCAGAAGCCGGTCTGACACTGAGACCTCTGCACAGGAAGAGCCTTCTGCCCCATGCTTCCTGTTTACGTCCCAGCAGTGGGATGTGTGGAGTTTGACTGGATCTTTGGGAACCTCCTTGCCCAGCTCAGAGCTAATGAGTTCTTGATCTGCTGGCATCAAGAAATGTTTTCATTACTCAGAACAGGCAACCCTCCACCCTGCCTGCCCCTGGGCTGCTCTACTGTCGAAGGAAGGGCCTGTGAAATCAGTAAAAGGATGTGGGAATGCAAGCAGGAGCTGGTGTTGGCATTAACAGAGTAGCTGTTGAGACTCAAGTCTGTGTATTGAGCATTATCATTGTTAACTGGTTGGACTGGAACTTGCCAATCAAACACCAGGTTGCAGCACTTCAGCAGTACATCTTTTTGATGTTTGTGCTTTAGAGGAGACAACTAGTCCAGTCTGAACCCTGTTATCTTTGCTGCATGTGAGCCCTGTGCACCCAGAGAGGCCTTTGCTGTAGTTCTGTTCTGCTTACTGCTGTTGGACTGTAACTTTGGGCAGCACCTGTACTAATTGCAGCTTGGTGCATTCCAGGTGAAACCTTTGTCCTGGGAGATGGCCTCCCAGGTCCCCTGGAACCTCGCCTGGACCCCATGGACTCTGCCTTGAACTCCGTCAATTCATCAAGCCACAGCAGGAGCTCCAGAGACTATCGTCTGCAGGGATACAGGCACCTGCACCAACCCTCTAGCCTCACTCAGGGCAGTACCTCTGCCTTGCGTAGGCTTAGCTCTGGGGGTAAGAGAGTTAAGAAGCCAGCCCTCCGATTGTAAATTTGGCAATAAAGGGCTTTTCTAACTCCAGTTACACCTTTCTAACTTCAGCAAGTACCAGAGACTGGCCTCTACACTGTTAAACAGGTAGTCTGTTAGGTTTAACAGTAGTTCTAGAGACATGGCAGATGGGTGGGTGGAAATACGGAGAGATGATGCTTGCAGGGTCAGTTATTTGCCTTAGTGACTAGATGGGGACTTGGACATCAGCAGATAGGAATGAGTAGGTAAGAGCTGAATTTGCAAGTGTGGTTAGGGGGTATATCCACTGGCGCTGTCAAAGTGATAAACGGATGTCTGAATCAGGGAGGATGGATTGGGAGTGGCCAGGGATTTGAGAACTTGATTAGGGTGGGAGCTGGGGTGGGTGTCCATGAGGATGTGTGGATGCATGAATGATACCTATAGAGTGGAGGAGTAGGGGCAGGAGAGCTGATAATTGCAGCAAATCAGCACCTGTCAAATCTAGATGTTTGCGAAGCCATGTTATAATTGTAGGTACCTAGCATCAGTAAAGATCTCTTACAAAACCAGGCCACTAATGCTTTGGTCTGTCAGCCTCGCCCCTACATCTGCGTGTACAAGTAATGCTGCACAGAAGAGCTGAAGCAACTGGCTCTGCTGATTCCAGCAATTTGAGAACGGGACTTTCGTTAACTCCTGTAGTGTTTAAAAACAACAGGATTTTGTATATGGGCTCAGTGCAACAGTAAATTCAGCCTACGCAAACATAAAATGACTTTGCCATGTTAAAGTTGCTAAAGACGGTGTTCTGCATGGGGAAGTGGTGGGAAGGAAGGGGAGAGAAGGTTCTTGGGGAAACAAGTGGGAACAGGGTATTGCATTCTGCGAAGGTGGGAAATGTTAGCAGATGGTCAAGGAAGTCGGAGAGTAAGAGTGGTGGGGAGAGTCTGAGCTGAAAGAGGGTGAGGAAAAATTGGATTTTAGGGGAAATAAAAGGGCTGGCTGTAGAAGGCTGCTCTGAAAGTAAGGCCTGAAGAGAGACAATAAGGCTTACGTCCTAGACCTGTGTCATAGGATTCTCTCGGACGTTGTTGGGAGGTGTCCTCACATTGTCTCTGCCATTGCTTCAGGAAAGGAGACTGAATAGTAGATGAAGTGTGAATAACTGCTGGAATGATGCTGCAGTCGTGCTTTAAATAACTGCTGCTGTCTTGCAATTACACCCAGGTTCAGATAGATATCTTGGATCTCGAGATGTCTCACGGCTGAACAGCCGAGACCCCTCGTCCTGGACAGTGGAGGAAGTGATGCAGTTCATACGAGAAGCTGATCCACAGCTGGGACCCCACGCTGACCTCTTTCGAAAACATGTAAATATGTCTGCATATATATATATATATATATATATATGGATACAGGACAGATCATCACATGAAGGAAATATAGGAAAGTCTGAAGAACAGCAGCACCTTGTACCAGCCAAAGTTTTTTCCTATGAAAAACATCCTCGTAAGTTCTGCTAGTATAACATTCAGGCTTGGGATTGCTCTTCCTCCAGTCACAGAGGTGAAGACATGGTAGCACAATTAAACCTTCTACTTCTGCTGCCTCTGTGCATATAGACAGTTAAACCCAGCTCTTAGCTGGGTTTGAATCTGGTATCCTTAGCACCAAAAAAAAAGAATCCATCCTGGGATCTTAAAATTCACCTTCTTGTAAGAAAACTTGTGTCCCAAGTGGAATTCATTGAGTGTGTTGCTGTCCCAGCATTCCCTATAAAAAGGGGTCCTCCAGTGTTCTCATCTGTGTGCACGTCCTTAAGTGTAAGCTGCAGACAGAACATGGAATTTGTACAATTAAAGTTACAGAAATTTTGGCAGTTCTGCATCCCAGTTCCTACCAGGCAGTTCATCTTTTCTCTGCCTTTTGATTCATTCCGTGTACCTGGTAGTACTTGTGAAGTCAGAAAAAATGTAGAAGAAAATACTTTGCATGAACTGGAAGTGGTGAAGAGCTGTGTGGTTAGGTAGTGAGTATTCCAGCCAGGCAGTTAAGCATGTTCTCAGATTGGTGTGGCAGGTCTTGAGAAGTGAGTTGTGCTGCTTGCTCGCGTGAAGTGGAACCCACACCCAGTGTTTTCCTGAGACAGTACTGAACTGACTTTGCTCTGTGTGCTGAGTGTCGTTGTTCGTTTTGCTGCTGGAGCTGTAAATCTTGTGTGTCCTGCAGATCTGTAACAGTTTTGTAAGTGGAGACCTACAGGCTCCTTCCCGAGGGAGGTAGTGCAGATCTTTCTGCTGACAGGGCTGAGACAACGCTGTCTCTTTTTTTAATCAGTTTCCATTTTAGAACCGCCAGTAACTGAAAAATATTCTGTTTAATTATATAAGAGAGTGGTCAGCCCTCTGCGGAGAGATTAAAGTCCCCCGTGTTGGCAGTCCTGGGAAAAACTTACCTTTCATTTTAAGAAGGGAAAAGCAGAACAGACTCGGTACTGGAGAATATTGGCGATCTTACCAAGTTTGAGACCTAATTGAGCATCACCATAGGACAGGGTTTTCTGTTTTGAGAGAGGTTGGAGGTTTTCTTGTTTTTCATTTATAAGTCAATTAATATTTTCTTCATGAAAGCTGGGCTATCAACAGCAGCTTGTCCACTCCAAAACTCTGGACAAGCCAGAAAAAGATAAAGGGAAGGAATACTGCAAGGGCTGTGAGGTCTGAAAATCATCCATTAGCTGGTGCTAAGTACAAAGCTATTCTGCAGTTATTTCAAGCTGCATATCCCTCCTTTCCTGAGCCTCAGCGAGGGGCACATGTGGCTCAGCAGTAAAGCATCAGACACTTTGAAAGATATGAAATTGGAATCATCCATGCTGGAGATGAGATGTTCTGTTTCTGTATTCCTCTGCCTGCTGTTTTAGAAACTCCAGAAACTCACTTTATGTATAATGGCCTTCTCTTTGGGTTAAGAGGGTTTTTTTGTCTTTTGCCTCCATCTATGACCTTGATTTTCAGCAAGGTTATTTTTTCTCTTTTCCTATAATAAAGTCCAATGTACAAAGTGCTGTATGTGTCACAATAGGACAGGATGCTTCCCCTGTAGTGCTTTGGGGTGGCAATGCCTTTGAGAGACAGACTGTTCTTGAGCACTGCCGTTGCCTCAAGAAGGGTTGGGTGCGAGTGTGCAGGGTCAGAAAGGTTCATGATTGGAGATTTGTGAGCGCAAAAATCCTGTGCAGCCCTGATGTACAGCTAAAAGAGTTTACTCCATTTATTAGCACCCAGCCGATTCCTCTGCTTTGGAGCAGCTCATTCTCCTGATCCCTTTCTTTTCCTTGCTTCCTGTTTCCATTCAGGATTTGCTAATCCCCAGCTTGACATAGCTCATGGGTGTTTATTAGTAGAACATCCAACAGGAGGATTTCAGCAGATATCCTGGCACCACAAACTTGTCGAAGGCCTGAACCCCTGACAGGGCAGGATGCAGAGAACTGCGTGCACTGGCGATGCTACGGTTACGTGGAACCCACCTGCTTTGCTTCTGAGCTGTGGTCTCATGCCCAACAGTGCTGCTTCAGCCATTGCCTTTTTGGGCATGGCCTGGCTAAGCAGGAAGGATTTGGGCTTACAGATGTGAATGGCAGGGGTCTGCCTGGTAGGCGCTGTTTGGTGGGCTGCTTTGAGCGGCTGGGCAAATAAAAAACAGAATGAGCTGCGAGGACAAAACCCTGCCTGACTCAAGGTGACAGCAGGCGGCCGGAGCCAAAAGACACTCAGTTGTCTGGGAGCTGAGCGTCGCCCTGGGCAGTTTGGGCAATGACAGGCTGGAGAGCAGAGACAGGCTCACGTTTGTGGTGTTGTTTCTCCTTCTTACAGGAGATTGACGGGAAAGCCCTGCTCCTGCTGCGGAGTGACATGATGATGAAGTACATGGGGCTGAAGCTGGGGCCAGCCCTGAAGCTAACCTACCATATCGACAAGCTAAAGCAAGGCAAGTTCTGAGAGGACGCTTGGCAGGACGGATCCTGGAAATGCTGCTCCTGTCCATACATACGCGCACTCACCTGCAGACAGGTACGCATGCACACACACCCATTTATGCCGCAGACGGACACCTCTCAGAAACACCCCGGACTGGTGCAGGGATCCAGTCAGCCACCCACCCACTCCTTCCTCTGGCAGCCAGGCCCATGAGGCTTTTTGGAAGGAGACTGACAACCTGTTGGCCCCGGGGCTTCACACCAAACTCGAGTCATGGATGTCCTGTTGGAAGCAGAGAGACTGTCTGTGCTCCTGAGCTGGTGTTTCTCTGTGATTTCCTGGTCCCTCTACCTTGGGACTGAGGAGCTGCTCTGGATGGGAGCTTTGGCAGAGCCTTTCAGGGACTGGGCGGTTGTGCTGGATTCTCTCCTTTTTGCTCTGCTGCAGGAGTGCGTTGCTCTCACGTTTCCTAGAAACCCTGCTCTCCTGGCCTTGCCTGCTCCGGGTGGTCCTCGATTCCTGTCTCCTCAGCTCACGTCAGATGGGCAGTGGACCCCGGGGTGCTGGACGCTTTGTGCTTCACTGTGCTGTTCTGGACAGCCAGGCTGAGAGAGAGACGGCGCCTGGGATTCACCCTCAACTTTCGTAATACTATGGCTAGCTTAGAACAACAACCATCCTATACCCAGTCTTCCACAAATGGGTGGGAGCCGCAGCACATGCTGAGGTCCCACCAGCCTGCTTGCTCATCCCTGGGCATGCTCACCTCCCTTTGGAGGCAGAGCTGTCTGCCCTTAACTTTTGACCT